CATCTGTTCTTCCATTATTCCTGAGATTAGTTTTTCTTTTATTGTGGCTAAAAACATGTCAATCTATTTTTAAATTCCAATAATTAATTGCACACAAATCTCCAAATTTAAATACAATCAATTGCTTATTCTTCTTCCTTACCATGAAATATATTTATTTGGTGCTTTTAGATGTTGGAATAATGCATTAAAATTTTCCTAAGTGAACATGATGTTAATTTTTTTCACAACAGAGACATATTTTATTTCTCTTAGCTTCCTGCCCCAGTGTTCACCAACTTTAAGTTATGCTGTCCCCTACTCTCTACCAAACTCTGTTTATCTGTTTACCATTTTAATAACTTAGTCCTTTACACTTTACTTACTATAATTAGCTGAGAAATGGATTAAAACATCTTTACTTATTTTATCTTTATAGTTATTTAACAATTGTTAATATAAAGAAAAGGACAGAAAGTAATGATATGATCCTACAAACCACAAATGATAAAGAACTCATTAATTTATACTATATATATATATATATATATATATATACATATATATATATATCTGGGTTGTAGTTTTAAAATTTGTATTTATAAATGTATTTTGTGGTAAGATGCTATAAATAATGTAGAAATAGTCCTTCATTTTAAGGAACTTACTGTTTCCAAGAAGACCTAACATTTCACTGTTAGGTAATATGAGATTCTTTCATATATGACAACTAGTAGCCTTACACATGAATCCGTGCACCAGTAGCTCTCGGCCACCCTCCAGTAGGTCTCTGCCCACTGCCTCGCCCTCCTGTTGTCCCCTAGGCTCCTGTAATAGCTTGCTGCCTCGTCCTCCTGTAGCTCCCTCTGCCCCCCGTCCCCTTCATCACTTCTGCCCTTCCTCCTCCTGTAGCTCTCCACTGCCAGCTTGTAGCTTGCTGCCCCCTTCCCTCCCCACCCCCCCGCGCTGATCCGTGATCTGGTCCTTACATGGTCAGTTGTTATACTTCATGGCATAACAACCATTTGCATATTACATCTTTGTTATATTGGATCATATTAAGAATACTCCTGTGCCGGGACCAGTTTGGCTCAATGGATAGAGCGTTGGCTTGGGGACTGAAGGGTCCGGGGTTCGGTTCCAGTCAAGGGCATGTACCTTGGTTGCGGGCATATCCCCGGTGGGGGGTGTGCAGGAGGCAGCTGATCGATGACTCTCTCTCATCGATGTTTCTGACTCTCTATCTCTCTCCCTTCCTCTCTGTACAAAATCAATAAAGTATATTTAAAAAAAAAAGAATACTCCTGTGAAAAAATACTTATTGTTCAATATTAAGCAAAATATAAATGTCAGCAATAGTATTACTATGGTGGAACTAGAGAAGGCTTCATGTAAGAGCTCAGATATTAGGTGGACATTGAATGGTAGATATTTTCAGATACTAACAGAAGAGGAAAGATATTATTTCAAGTGAAGTAAAAGACCCAAGGAAGGATGTATGAAAGTATTGGGTATGTTATAATTACAGTAAAAGCAATTGAAATATTTGGGATCAAAAAGATAAAAGGAGAGCATGCGACATTAAAAAATAGTTAAGAAACACATTACAGAATACTGTAAATGCCAAAAGGAGACATATGTCTAATGAGGAGGAAGTGAAAGGCTTTTTGTAATCTAGGTTCCCTTCAAGAACACTGCATTCTAACAAGAATGTAGAAAGGATTATAGTGTGAAAAATTGAGGCAGGAAATAATTGGGAGACTATTTCAATTGTTTGGGAGAGCAGTAATAAAAACAGTTTATACAAGCATATAAAGGGTAGAACATAAGCACTAATAGCCTTGGGAGAAAGAATAAAAAATAATTAATTATTATATCCTGGAAACTTGGAAGAATGCTATTGCCATTATAAAGTGTAACTTGACAAGACAGTACTAAAAATTAAAAGAAATAAAAGTACTAGTTTCACTTATTCATTCAATACATATATAGTTACTCACCTACTATATATCAGGTGCTCTAACATGTGCTAGAAAAGATAGTCAAGACAAGATTCAACTTCCTGGAGCTCACATTCTACTGAAAGATATATGATAAACAAATAGCAAATGAAAGTGGAAAACAATTTCATATAGCAATAAGTACTATGAGGAACTTAAAGTAAGTAAGAGATGGAGAGAAGAATGAGAATGAGGAAGGGAGAACTTATCTCTGAAAAGGTGATTTTGAGTGGAGGCAAGAAAAAATGATGAGGTAAGGGAGGACATTTCAAGAAAGAGAGAGTCTAGTGCTCATTCTAGATAGCAACAAGTGAAACTAGCACTTCCTCCTTATTAACTTACACTTTTTAAAAAATGCTCACATGAGAATATGTTTTTATTGGAGAGAGACAGAGAGAGAGAGAGAGAGAGAGAGAGAGAGAGAGAGAGAGAGAGAGAGAGAGAGAGAGAGAGAGAGAGAAGAGAGAGAGAGAGAACCATGGATGTGAGAGAGAAACATTGATTGATTTCCTCCCACACAGACTCTGACTGGGGACCGAATCTGCAACCTTTAAGTATGTGCCCTGATGAGAAATCCTTTTTGGTGTATGGGAGGACCCTCCAACCAACTGAGCCACTGGGCCAGGGCTTAACTCACACCTTTTAATGGCATTTTCATTCTTCCAGATTTCTAAGCTAGACAGAGGGAAAATCAGAAAATAAGGGCAGATCAGGAGATGAGTGCCAGACCAAGTAGAAATTAAGATTTTCTTACATGTCTAATAGGGAGATATTGGAGCATCTTAGCTTGAAAGAAGGAAGTTCTAACGATATTTTTAAACTAGAGGCCTGATGCACAAAATTCGTGCAAGAGTAGGCTGCCAGCAACAGGTTCCCTCTGACATCTGGGTCCTGGGCTTCCCTCTGGCACCTGAGACTGGTGCTCCCCTCTGGCCACAGACAGTCACCCAGGACCGGGGCTTCCCTCACAGCCCTGGCTTCATCCAGAAGGTCGTCCGGAAGGAGGTCTGATCTAATTAGCATATTACACTTTTATTATTATAGAAGACTAGAGGCCTGGTGCACAAAATTTGTGCACTTGGGGTGGGGGGCCCTCAGCCTAGCCTGTGCTCTCAGGGAGCGGGGCCTAAGCCAGCAGGCGGACATCCCCAGCACCGCCACCACCACTGTGCTCACCAGTATTGAGCCCAGCTTCTAGCTGAGTGGTGCTGTGGGAGCGCACTGACCACCAGGGGGCAGCTCCTGCATTGAGTGCCTGTCCTCTGGTGGTCAGTGAGCATCATAGTGACTGGTCATTCGTCATTTGGTCAATTTGCATATTAGCCTTTTATTATATAGGATATGTTTTTATTAATTTTAGAGAGAAAGGAAGGGAGATAGAGAGATAGAAATATCAATGAGAAGAATACTGACCAGTTGCCCTCTGCAATGCCCCCTACTGGGGATTGATCCAGCAACCTGGAATGTGCCCTTACCTGGAATCAAACCATGACTTCCTGGTACATGGACCAACTCTCAAGCACTGAGCACCCCAGCCAGGATAATGACATTTTTTTGATAGTACCCTTTTGCTCTAAATTATGTAGGATGAATTAAGAGTACAGTTAGGCCAAACAACTGGGAAATTGATGGAGTGCATCAAATTGGAGTAGAGTTGCTTGAATTAGAATAGTAGCAGAGGAGATAATAAAAACAAATTTTATTTGAAATACTTGAGTTAACAGGACTTATAGATGGATTTGATGTAGGGAGTGAGAGGAAGATGTCAAAGATAATTTCCAAAATGTCTGAGAGAGTAACAAATTGAACAATGCTACAATAAACAGATAAGACTGGAAAAGCAACAGATTTGGAGGTGAATAGAGTGGGATGCTCAAGAATCAATGATTTAGATTTGGATTTGTAAAGTTTAGGATCTTTATGTGAAATCTAAAGTGTAGTTGTCTAATTGTTAGAGAGAAATCTGATTAATTGAAAATTCTCTTTATCATCTATTTTAATGTAATAATTAAAGAATACATATGTGTTTTCTATAAGTAAGCTATACTACAGAGTAATAAAAAAAACAAAAACATCCCTGCAATCTAAGAAATAGATATCTAATCTACATTCTACCAGACTCATTCATTTACTTTCATTTCAAAGATAAATATTTAAAAACATAATATGAACTTTGTATGTTTCATTAACCTGAATTTAAAAATAAGCTTTCTTATTGTATATGTATGTATCTATAAATATATATTATTTACTTTCTCTGAATTGTGAGCATTGGAAGCAAAAATGTACTCTATATAGTCTTCTGGGACTTATTATTAAAAAGAGATGAACCTAAACAAAAAATACCAAAAGGTTAAAAGTAAAAGGAAAAATACTAACAATTAATTAATTAGAAACTAGTGTAAAAATATTAATTTGCAAATTTACCTTGCTTTACAAACCAATGAAAAAGAAATGAACAAATTCACTTATTTTGGAGAGTTCAAAGACTTTTCTAATTAATAATACAATAGGGTAAAATATAAGAAAGAATCTGGAAGTTTTGAAAAAGAGAATTAACAAACTTGATTTATAGACAGATAGAGAACTTTGTGCCTTACAGAAAACTTGGGATAATGACTCATTAGAAATTATCTCTTACTATTTAAAGGATACCAGGATACTGTTACCTTACCATGATCTAATATGATTTGAAGACTTCTCTCTAGATATTTGTAGTAAATGTATGCTCAAAAACTATTTTTAAAAAATATATATTTTATTGATTTTTCACAGAGAGGAAGGGAGAAGGATAGAGAGTTAGAAATATCTCTGGGGATGTGCCCACAACCAAGGTACATGCCCTTGACCGGAATTGAACCTGAGACCTTTCGGTCCACAAGCTGACACTCTATCCACTGAGCCAAACCGGTTTCGGCTGCTCAAAAACTATTTTAAGTCATAGGATTTTGGAGATCAAGTCTCATATGTATCATTACATTTTAATATATCATTTTCTGGAAGAAGGAGAAGTTATTTTACCTTGAATTAAAGTGATATTTTTCAGTGTCTGAGAATGTTCCCAATCTTTCAGTCTAAGATCATTAGTGATGTTGTTCAACAGTTTCACTTCTCCTTTGATTTCCTGTTCCAAAAGTGCTTGTTTTTCTTTCATAGACATAATTTCTGCTGATGCATTGTGCACACGCTCCTCTAATTTAGTCCTTTCCTGTGAAGCATAAGCAAGCATCCACAATTTTCGTTACACCATTATTTATAAAATATGTAAGTTTAAGAAATCCTGGAAGCCAGGCTTTTAAAAAATACATATGATATTACAAGAACATTATGGAATAAGAATACAAAAATTAGAGAACCATTTTAAAAGATTCTTTGGTTTTAAGCATTTCCTCTTTTGACTGAACAACTGAATATTCACACCCTCTGCCCTGCTCCTACCTAGTTGAATATATCTAAGGTATTCTATTTCCAAATATATAGATGTCAAAACACAAACAACTTTAAAACACTTGTGACATGATTTTTAATTTATCTCAAGTAAGGCTTTTTTATACTGTACTTATAGTATAATTTAGTATTCCAATTCTGTGAATTTGACAGATTTGAATATATAATTGTTTTATATCAGTAACAAAGTTTAGTGCCATATTTCCCAGTGGAAATGAACATTCAGGATCGCTTTTCATATTCAATATAATCTCAACTAGCATATTAACAATATCTTATTTTTAATTTTTATTGCCTCTGTATTTGAGATTTCATTATTATTTTGATTTTAATGGCATTTAATACCTGCATGCATATATGCATATACTAGTATAGAGAGATTGTGAACAAGCGAGATAGTACTTCTTTGATCTGGGACATGCTTTAATTTTTTACTCAATAATATATTTAATTTTTTATTCAATAGTATATGTACCTATTATAATACTGAGAGGCTGCCTTATATTTAATAATTTAGTAGAATTATACTGTATTTTTCATAGTTTATTTTATTCCTATTAGAGTTTTTAGCTGTACCTATCTTATAACTTTAAATAATGCTATAATGAACATCTTTAGAAAATTTTTTATTGATTTCAGAGAGGGAGAAGGAGAGAGAGATAAAAACATCAATGATGAAAAAGAATCATTGATCAGCTGCCTTCTGCATGACCCCGTCTGGGGATCAAGTCCACATCTTGGGCATGTGCCCTGACTGAGATTGGAAACATGATTTTCTGGTTCATAGGTCAACAGGTCAACGTTCAACCAGTGCACCACACTGGCTGGGCTGAACATCATTTTATATATGTGTGTGTGTTTCTATAAGACAGTATCCTGAAAGTGAATCTGATCCAAGTGTGTAAATATTAAAATTTTTGTTCAATACTCTCACCCTGTCATCCAAATACTTGATATCATTTAAAAATCTTATTAATTGTACATTAGTGCCTACTTTTTGCACCTAAATTCTTGGCATTATCAATATATTTCCCTTGGCAGAGTAAAAGTAGACACAATAAATTCTTAATACTTAATTTGCTTTTCAACTATCGATATGATAAAGTTAAATACCAAATCATAAATTTTTTTTATATTTTTCTTATTACTTTTTCTTTCAAGTCTTTTCTTGGTTTTCTGTTGTGCATTGGCCTTTTCTCTTGCTGATCTACCAAACCTTTTTATCTATTTTAATAATGTTTTGTTTCTTTGTTTTACTTTTATCACAGAGTGGAGCAGTTTTGACATAGACCATGTAGTCCCAAAGCTAAATATTTATCTGACCCTTTAAAAAGAAACTTTTGCTGGCAATTGCTCTAGAATATATCCTGCTCTTTTGTCTTGTATATTTGATGCTATTATGATAATACATTCAAATGTTAATTTTTAAATTATTGTTAATTTACACATAAAAGTTATGTATACTTCCTAGGAGTGACAAAGTAACTATTTTAAACTAGGTTTGTTAGGTTATCTATGTGAAGGATGAGGATAAATGGGGGGTCTATTGTAAAATTTACAGAGTGCCCACCTCCCCAGATCTGCTAAGGTAATCTAAAAATCATAATTGGTTTAGGCAGCCACAAGAGATACTATACCAGGTTTTATTATACTAAAATACCTTGAGAGGCTATATCCAATAGAAAAATATTTTCCTTTTTGCTGGGAATCTGGAAAAAAAACTAGATTGAGACCTGGTAAGTTTCTGAATGGAATCTAGGTAGGTAGGATGATGTTCAATCAGGGTTTATTATGTTTGATCTCCTGCTCCAATGAAGAGATAGGAGCTAAATGAATTCAGTGTCAGCATGTGGCCTTCCAATAGGAAAGTTCTTACCTCTTGTTGTTTAACTGCATTCTGTTGGACTTTGCCATTCAGTGTTTCAATACTGAGCTGCAAAGCAAGTAATGTGCTGTTCAGACTTATTAATGACTTGAAGATTTCGTCTATTTCATTCCCATGTTCCTGGACTGAGGAAGCCACGGTTCTCATTTGGAGAAGAACATCATCAAATCTTTCATTAGTCATTGCACTGACATTTTGGAAATGCTCTGAATCTATGAGATTGGCTTGTGCATCTGAAATATACTGGATTCTTTTCTCCATGCTGCTCAAGTTTCCGGTGACAACTTCTCGGAATTTTATATTCTCTTCACGGTCATTTCCTTTTCCCATCAGACTCTGAGATGAATCACTGGCATTCACTGAACCAACTGTGCAATTCTTCCTTTCCCATTTTAGGAGCTGAGCTATGTATTTAAGAAAAAATAAGCAGAGTCATGGCCTGGCTCCTTAGATGCATACCAGTATATCATCCCATTCTAACATTCTGAATGCTATTCCAAATCAGGTATTTATTTTAAATGGACATGTATGAACCACAGTAGGTATATTGTTGAGAGGGTGACAGTCTCCTATTCCCAATTTACTTTAGAATTTATTCCAGGATTAAGCCATTCTTTTTGAATTGCTGCTTATAAGGATCTCCTGGACCATTGCATTTGGCTTTCCCAGTAAGAGAGATTCACAGATTATAAAGTGCATTGTACCCTACTCCTCGGGTCAGTCATTAAGATAAAATAACAGAGTATCTGAAGTTAGCATGTTGAATATACTAGTTCTTATCAAGATAAATGATAATAATAATAAAGTTTGTAAAGTAGAAGTATTATCGATATTTTGATAAAGTAGAAGTGCTATCGATATTTACTAATAAATTAGTACTATTTACTAATAAGTTTATGAATAAATTGTTGGTTCATCTTCCTCATCCTATAATTAAGAATTGTCATTTTTCAGTTTACACAGGCCTAATTTACAGCTGGTGGAACAAAAAATTGGGCAAATAATATTCTTACTTTAAAAGATATTGTTTTTCTAAGCTTAGTCTTTATCTACTATGAAATATTTATTCATAGCAAAAATTTAGAGAGATGAATAATAATAAGAAAAAACTATTTAACACTGATCTTCTTCCAAGTTAAATGCTAACATTTTGGTATATATATATATATATATATCAAATCTGACTCTCTGTTTTCACTATCATATTATATAAGCAAGATTATATTTTGGGGACATGTAGAGCTGAGGATATGTACTTCCAAATGGACATATATTCTCTAAATAAGCTAATTATCCTTCTGAAATGACCTAGAGCAATATAATATGCTTACAATTTCAAAAAATGAAAAGCATAAACATTAACTTTGCAGATAAAATAATACATATTTATATAAAATAAAGAAAACATTAAATACCATTTTACCACTAACCAGGGATGGTTAAGATTTTCTTGTTTTTTCATATCTCTATATATTTTTCTCCATCATTTATACCTTTTATCTACATAAATATGTCCTTTATTTATATTTGTTTTATTATATAAATTTTTCCATCTCTGACCATTATTAAGCAATAAAAATAATAACTTCACATAGTTTAAAAACATATCTGCATAATCAGCTGTACCTGATCTGTGAGTTTTCTGAGTAAAAATTATATAGCAATAGTATCATCTTTATAGGTTTTTGAGAATTAAATGAAATAACACATGAAAAAACATTTAGTTTCCACTCTTAGCTCAGGATACCTGTTTTATAAATAAGACGTTGGTGTTTACACAGGATTAAATTGCCTGATTCTGGATTCTAGCTATACTTCTCATTATTAGTTGGGTTACTGTGGGCAAGTTACTTATCTTCTCCATGCTTAAGTCCTCACAAAGATCTAGAAATAGTAACTATCTCAACAGTAATACTAAGGATGAATGAGATAAGGCATATAGTATATGCACTTAAATCCCAATTTTTAGAAACACACATTATATCCTATTGTCCTAGTTACATTCTCTACAATTAAGCGAAATGTGACTACATTTTTATATGATCCACAACAAAGGCCATTTAAGTGTGCATAATTTTATACTTCTTAATTTATCAACAAGTTGGACAAAAAAAAGTATATTTCTTACTAAGATTTTATCCCATTTATTAAGTTAAGTGTGGGGAGTAATTTTTGGATTGACAGCCTCATTTATGAATTCATCAATACTATGATTTATTTATTAAGCACCTACTAAGTATAAAACACTGGATATAAGATAGACTGAAATTCACAGTTGTCCCTTAAAATTTTCCTTTTATAGTGATTATTGTTGTTGTTTTTTGTTTGTTTGTTTTTTAATTAAGAATTCAGGTTCTAAATTAGAACTGGGTTAGCAATTCTTGCTCTTTCCTTTACAAATTGTGACCTTGGGTAAAAGAAGGTGTCAATGCTTTCATTTCACTTTTATATAAATGGGGTATTAACAGTCAGTGTTCAAATAATTAAATGAGCTATTTTATGTGAGGTCTTTAGAATACATCCTGGTACATAATAAGCTTTTGGCAAGTTTCAGCTTTTTTGTTATTATTAATATTTTGGATTCACTGCTTGTGGCTTGTGCATCTATATGCACATCATTGATAATTAGGGGCAGTTAATATTGTGTAATACAAAAGACTGGAGGAAGTTCCATATTGCAATGAGTACAGTAATCTCTGTGCTTTTTTTATTAGGCATATGGATATAATTATTCAATCATGAAATTTTACTTATACTGGAAAAAAATTTTCTATATTATATAGGTAAAGCAACTCTTGTTCACAATATAAGAGAGACACCTGATTTAACAAAATGTCATATGACCAAAGGTTTTTTTTTTTATTTGACATCAAGTTCAACATGGATTGGCAATAAAGGTTACATTTTATTAATATATTTAAAAACAAAACAGTTCTTATTTCCCTAAATTCTGAATGAGAACTAATTTGATCCCTACATTTTTTTAAGAATGTTTAATTTTGTATCATAAATCTAGGTAAAGAACGCAAGAGTTCCTATTTTCAGATCTTTATTTATCTCACTATCATTGGAGAGATGGCATTTTTTTTTTTACTTTTCTATTTCACACTTAAAGGAGACAAGATTTTAGGACTTGTGTTAAAGGCCTAGGGAGAATTATATTTGATTCCATGGATCACATTTACTCTTTTGTGTTGGTAATACCTTTTCCTACCAAAAACCTATATTATTATGAGCTAAAGAATATAAAATATTTCAGTGGCAATTTATATACATTGATACTGAGTTATATTTGATTGTCCAGAAATATTATGCTGTTCTATTAAGCCAGTGATCCAGTCGGTTCTTAAAGAAAAGATAGCATATAGAATAGATTTTAAAATTAAGGAATATCTTTTTATGAATATGACACTTTAAATTTAAGCAGAGTCTTTATGTACAACATTTTAATTCACCCACCAACTCTTATTTGCCAAAACAAAGTGATTACTATTATTTTAGTAGGGATATATTTGGTCTATATTTATAATTTTTGGTATCAGTAGAGATATGTATTGCATTTTAGTTCTTTATTTTAATATATTCTGATCTACAGCTTAATTAAAGTTGTAAATGATGGTCAGTTGTTTATTATTCAAGAGTGATAGACATGGCAAGATCTCCCTATTTTTATGAATTTGGGTGCTAACGTGAGCATACGATTTGAACACTTTAAACTTCTCGTCAATCTTCATAGGTACTATTATAGTTTTAGTAAACAAAACCACTTCAGATCAATCATTGTCAACCCTAAATTAACTGTGTTGACTGGATAGTGTTTTCTAATAGCCCAGAGATCCTGAACTTGCTGAGAACCCAGAGTTCTTTTTAGACTTCAGTCCACGTTCTGCACTGGCCTATTGGAAAGTAGTTGCACTCTTGGGTTGGCACTACAGACCATGGTTGTATAAAGGCAATTAAATTAACCTAATCATAACTGGCGTATTGCTAATAATCCCAAACAATAAGTTATCTTTCTGTTATGTCTCAAACTACAGATAAGCATGCATATAAACAGCATACAGATAACCTGAGTTCATCAGGAAGTTCATTTCATGAGAGATAACCAGGATCTTTTATTTAGATGGTTGTGGTTGGTTTGAGTGACTGATTGGTTTCGTTTCTTGTTGGTTTTGTTTCTTATTTTGTTTCTAATGGCCAAAATAGGAGTGGATCTTTATCTGGGGGAAAATATTTTCCTCGCTAAAATTACAGCAACTCTTCTTTGTTTTTTTATTGGTCAAACATATTTTGGTGCTAAAAACCCAATTACCCTGTTAGACAGTAGGACACAGAGGTTAGGAGTCAAGTGTATGGGTGGGAACTGCAGCTCCACTACTGATTCTGAACACTCTCAGATTCCTTTTGTGGGTAATGAGGGTGAGTTTATGTCTACGCGGGGGTAACTGGAAAGGTGTATTTAAACAATCTGTGGAAAATTTATAGCCCAGCGCCTGAACATAGTGAATGCCTAAAATCGATAGCTACAGTTACAATTGTTGTTTTATTATCATTTCTTTCTTAGCATAATTTTGGCTCTGTCTTGGAATATTTCCTTAGATTGCTTCTTAGCAGAGAAGGTTTGGCCTTGTACTTAGGAGCATTTTCTCGTTAAGCTGATTAGTGTGTGCACAAAAAATGTATCTTACTCCCAGCCCATCTCTTAGTAGATCATATGCCCAGACATGTCTTCAGTCATAGAGAAAGGAGAGCTACAAGGTATATAAATGCAAATGCCAATCAAATACATTAAAAAAAAAATGCTTCTGAGGGGAATAATACTTACATATTTCACTGAGTTATATGCAAGCCACCTCTGTAGAAACCCTGATTTACCCCAATTTAAGTCAGATTCTGCAAAGAAATGCATACCTGGAAAACATTATTTTGAGCCCAAGTAAAATGTTCTAATTTTTAGAGATGTTTTAAATAATGGCCTTATGAAATATGTGGCCGTATAAACTATAAAAATATTACTGACGTGTAGGCCATTATTTTTTTAAGGCTTACAGGCATATTTCTTTCTGCTCTCAATACTAGGAGTAGATCTTAACCTGAACAACTGGCTTGCTTTTATATTTTAGGCATTGTTAATGTAAATGATCATGTTCATATTTTCATGTTGGCAACTAGAATACTTACCTTGAAATTTGTGACTCACCGCTAGACGTCTATATGACTTCAGAGAATAATCTATTTTTGAAATAATCCTTTCCACAGCTATATTTTTATCTTAATATTTCATTTTCTATTCTATTTCAGTGTTTCTATTCTTTGACTTAGTAACTTTGAAGAATCTATTTTTTCATTTAATAAATTTGAGGAATACTGTGTGTTATGAAGTTTACCTTAGGAATCTCCCAAATACAAAAGACTGAGTGCTTCTCTTTTGCTTCTACAGTAATTAACTCACATGCTGAGCTGCTGGGTTTCAGAACTCTAGAATACTGTACCTGCCACTATCCCAAGGATAGGTATGAGAACTATAAACACAAGGAGATAAAGGGCAATCAGGGCAGCTTTGACGGACTTCAGTTTCTTTGGAAAGGCAGGGCCATTTTTAAAATCTAAAAAACAAAAGCCCAAACTATTGTTAGAAAACTTACTCAATTACAATTTTTATGACCTGTAACTACCAAGCTTGTTTAAATAAAAGAGGAGGACAGAGGATAGGTCCTTGTTTATTCAGTAGAAAGAAAATGGGACAATCACAGTCTAAGCCAATATTGGCATCACTGGGACATTTGATTTACTTAGCCATGCACTAAGCATGCATGAAAAAGTGAGTATCTTCTACAGTTTGTACTTGTCTCATTTGGGGCTACTGGTTGATATATTTTAATATTCATACCAACATATGCAAACAATTTTATTCTTCTGTTTCATATGGGAATATATTCTGGGTGAAAATACCCCCCCCCCCGCAAGTAACTATATAATTATGATTTTTTTCTTATATTAAGTCAGATAGAAACATTTATTTTCTATTATGATTATACTAGTACAATTTTTTTTAAATCCAATCTCTATAACTTTGTATTTGGATACCTCTTATGATGTGAATAAGATGTAAAATAAGAAGTAAACAAAATATTCACATTTTGACTAAATTTTGAAATAATGAAGTTAGTCCTTTGTATATATTAGAAAACATTAACATTTCAGTATTATTAATTTAAATAAACAGTGATTCACATAATGGGTACTAATTATGGAAAAGATAACTTGGTGTAGAAGGAATCTCAATAGAAGAGGAAGACATTTATCAAATTAAGTTAATAAAACCATTTATTAAAATATTTTCCCTATAGCCATTACTCTTGTTGCTCAGTTTCCTAAAAACAGTAAATTTTATTTTCAGGTTGTAAACTCCAAAATAAAAAACAAAAGTTCAGACAGTTCTCAATAATGTTCTATGAGGAAAGGAAAGGAAAAGGAGAAAAAAATTTAAGAAGTAAAGCTAAGCCCCAGCTGGTTTGCTCAGTAGAGCGAACATCAGCTTATGGACCAAAGGGTCCCAGGTTCCCTTCTAGTCAAGAGCCTGTACATTGATTGCAGGCTCCTTCAGGTCTGAGCCCTGGTTGGGGCTTGTGCAGGAGGCAACCAATCCATGTGTTTCTCTCACATCAATCTCTCTGTCTTTCCCCCTCTCTTCTACTCTCTCTAAAAAACAATCAATGGAGATCAACCAAAAGACTTGCATGCATGCATATAAGCACAACCAACAGACACAAGACACTGGGGGAAAGGGGGAAGAGCAGGGTAGGGGGAGGATGAGGACAAGTGCCAGGAGATAAGGGAGGGGGGAAAAATGGGGGGGGGGGAAGGAGACATAGGTACTACTATTTCTAATACCTTATACAATAAAATGAAAACAAACAAACAAAAACAATCAATGGAAAAATGTCCTTAAGTGAGGACTAACAAAACAAAAGAAATATAAGAAAAATAAAAACATTAAAAAAATAAGGATAAATCTAAGGAAAAGAAAAACCCACAATACAAGCAAGATGGGGTATTCCATCCACCAGGTGGACTAAGCCTGAGACCCAGGAGTCATATCTCCAAGCCTCCAATTTATAATCACAAATTATCCATAGGCTGCCATTTAAAAACCCACAAATGTGTTATTGTGTATGCTTGTTTTTGTTTTTGTTATTTTGCCTTTTTTTTTTTCTGTTCTCACTGACTGTTCTCCTTCCTCAATCTCTCAACATCTCCACCTTTAAAAGCTTTTACTGTTCTCTTTTTTTTTCTTGTCTCACTGGTGTCTCATCATTTATTGTGAACACAGCATATAAGATCCATCGTGTCTTGCAGTTGTGGTCTGTATTTCAGGTTTTTCTATGTATGAATTAATATACAATCCTGTAACTCTGCATTTGCTGCTTCCTCTAATTGAAATATCTCTATGTATCCTTCCCCACCCACCTCAGCGCTTGGCAGAATTAAAGCATCTCCATCCTCACATTAAATGGACCTATCCAGATACAGTCAAATGCTTCTTCTTTTGAAGTCTTCTGGTTCCCCGAACAAGCATCTGTTTCAGGACTGTTATGTGCTGAAATGTGTTTCTCAAAAAGATATTTGTTGAAAACTAATGTGAACTTATTTGGAAAAAGGGTGTTTGTAGATATGATCAAGTTCAAGGGAGGCCATACTGCATTAGGGTGGAGCCTAACCCATTGATTCATATCTTTAGGATAAGAGGACTTGGAGACACCCTGAGAGAAGGCCATGTGTAGATGGAGGCAGAGATTGCAGTGATGAAGTTACAAGCAAAGGGGTGGTACTAAATATTACCGGGAGTCACTAGAAGCTAGAAAGAGGCAAGAAAGTATTCTGAGCTTAAGAGCTTTCCAAGGGTGTATGACCTTGCTGAGACCTTGACTTAAGACTTCTGGCCTTTGGAAGTGTCAGAGAATAAATGTCTGTTGTTTTAGGCACCTACTTTGTGGTATTTTGTTACTGCAGCCACAGGAAACTAATGTGTTCTTTTTTAATTTATCTTTATTGTTGAAAGTTATACAGATAAAAAAAAAACAACAACACACAAAAAATAAAGTTATACAGATGTACCCTTTATTTTCCCCATTGTCCCTCCTAGCCCATTCCCTCCCGCCTAGGCCTTCACCACCCTATTGTCTGTGCCCATGGGTTATGTGATATAAATTCTTTGGTTAATCTCTTCCCACCCACCCTCCTTTCCTCGTGGTGCTACAATCATAAACATCTCCAGGACCTAGTCCATGGCTGGGAAATCAGATAACTCAATCAATCTCAGATTAATTTAATATATTATAATGTTTCCTTACTTCAATTTATTTTGTATTCTCTCTCAAGACAGGGAAATACCTGCTTATCAATTAAGTCTTATTTTAACATTCATACACATTTAAGGTAGGCTACAAGACTAATTTTACATAGTGTCAACAACTCTAAGGACACCCTCCCTGGGATCCAACCCTTCCTCTACTTACTCAGAGGTAACAGAGCTGTCACGGATCGAGCATCAAACTTCACAGATTCTGAGCAGCTGTCAGTGTCCCCCTCTCGATCAGGAAAGCTATCCCACTGCGCCATACCCCTATGAAACACATGGAAAAACATTAATTACACACAAAATGCTTAGGACCCTTTGGCATAATGTTTCCAACTGAATTTTAGAATTAAAACTCAATTTGAGCAAGAAAACTAAGTAAATTTACATATCTACCATAACATATATATATATAACATATATATATAACATATATATATATATATATATATCAATAAGTTTTCATTGTAACAGTAAGATAGACTTACATAGGACCTACTCATGTATCTTTCTACCTACACATGTACATATTTCCTGTGGTCTTTTATCAGAACTTTATGAGCCAGTTTTTCTTTTGCCAAGGCATCTGTTTATCATTTTGGACAGGAAAAAAAAAAAATCTAATTACTAGGTTAGGAATTACAGAAAAAAACTTAGTTTTGGTTTTTCTTTTTCTTACTTGTGTTTATTTACTTCTTTTGCAGGACTCCTCATTATAGACTGGCAGCATCATAAATATGTCTTTGTACCTTTTTTAAAATTACTGATTTCAGAGAGAGAGGAAGGGAGAAAGATAGAGAGACAGAAACATTGATGCCATGACCTCCTAGTTCATAGGCCTATGCTCAACCATTGAGCCACACTGGCTGGGCTATCCTTGTATCTTTTAAAGCACAATCCATATTCTATGATACAATCTATACCTATGTGTCTTGAAAATTCATCAGAATCATTTGAAAAGGCTTGATTAAAAACAAATTGATGGGCTTTACCTTCAGTAAGCAGGAGGTTGGCCAGCCAGGGACTGACTGCAGGAGGGCTCCTGGGCATGTCCAGCCCCTCTTGCTCAGCAGGATCTCAGCAGCAAGCTAACCTACCAGTCATAACATCTGCCCCCTGATGGTCAGTGCATGTCATAGCAAGAGGTTGAGCTGCCTTAACATATCATTAGCATATTATGCTTTGATTGGCTGAAGAGCCAACTGGTAGACAGGACACTTAGAATAATATAGGACTTTTATTATATATGATGATAAGTATTGGGATATTTTTCAATCAATAACTTTAAGATAGAAATACCTATTCCTTCATGTAGGCTACTCCAACAATTTCCTATCATGTACCATCGCCTCATAAACTGTGCAAGTCACCAGACAGCAAAGATCAATGTGTATAGAACATTTTCAAGCTCCAAAGATCTTATGCACCAATAAAAAAGGCTAATATATAAATTATCATCAGATAAATTATATATATACTTATACATATACATATATCCAGCTGTGATCTTATTTCTGATCCAGCTCAGAATCATTTCTTTAAATAAAACAACTAGCTACAACAGTGTGTTTTCCACATCAACCTAATTTTTATTCTTCCCAGGCTTATTGGTGTTGGCATATGCCTATTTATATCATGTTTATTATAATAATTTATTTCTAATTTTTATGCAGAGAGACACACATGATAAAGTCAGATGTAAAGATAAATAGAGGTGCTAGCCAAGCATAGTTACTTCAACCAAAGGCCAAGGTCTATTCTAGTTCACTCTCATCCACCAGACCCATATCTGATTGCATGGCAACTCCTGACTTCCTCCTCCATTCCTTCCACTCTATTCCAATTTTTTTTTTTTTAATTTCAGCTCCTTTTTCTCTACCCCAGCTAGGCTTCTAGGGTAGCAAAATGAAGTTGGCAATGAAAGGGGAGAATCCAAGAGATATTTAAAAAGAGAAGGAAATGAAAAAACTTGGTGAGCAAGCATCAAAGTATAACACTTTAACAAATACTAGGAAAAAATATCAAACAGAAAATATGTTTCAGGAAAAAAATATAGAGAACAAAACTTGAGAACAAATATATTTAATGATCAAGTAAAGGAAAGTGAACCAGCATTAAGGGTGAGGAAGAACCTTTGACACTATACTAGAAGAAGCCTGGGTCATGCAATAGGACAAAGAATTCTAAGGCATGCAAGAACATCCATAAGCTTCTTGCTAACATCGAGTTTGTCTTGCTTCTATGGTAGAGAAGCAGATTCTTGAGAAATCAAGAAACAATAAATGTATAAAAATTTTAGGCCTTGAGTATGTAAACCAGAAATTTGGTCATGTTCGTGCTCTTATATTGAGAAGAGATACTGAAGATTGAACTGAGATAGTACATCGAGGGAAGTTTTATTTTTCCTTCCTTATTCTTCCTCATCTCCCAACTTAACATTGGATTGTGCCAGGTCTCAGTTCTTGTCCTCTTTCTGTATTATTCATTCCCTTGGTGTTCTCATTAGGCACTGCTTTAAATACAAACTTGAAGGCTGCTTAATGACTCTTACATTGATGCCTGTTGCCCAGAACTTTCCTCTTAACTCCCGACTTTACTAGTATAATACATGCAATGGTCTTACAGCATCGCAACTTGGATTTCCTATGGCCCAAACCTCAGGGTCTTCCTTACCTCATACTCTACATCCAATCTATTGTCACCTTCCCTTCTGCCATCCTGGTTGGAGTCCCATCATCTTTCTCAACTTGCCTCTCAGCTTCACTCTTACTCTTTCCATTTTATATGCTTACTTATTCTCCATACTACCTGTAGAGTGTTCCTCTCACAAAGCAAGACAGATCATGTCACTCCACTGCTCAAAACCTGTGAACATTCTCCCATCTCACTCAGCTCCCCATGAAAACCTCTCTTTCTTAGAAAGACTGACATTTCTTGAGCCTCATATGTAAAATTACAGCATATCTCTTTCACTTCCTCAAGTCCTTCCTGTCTTAATTTTTTGTTTGTTCTTCAAAAAATTTTTTCACTATCTAACTGATATGAAATACATTTTTCTTATTCATCATGTCTATTGTCTGTCTCCTTTCACAAAAGTTAGATCTATGATTCAGGATGTTTATCCCTTTAGTTCAATGACCAGAAAGTTCCTTGCAGTTGGTAGATTCCAATTACATACATATACATTATAAGAAATTTCATAAAATAAATGAAAGACTGTTTTTTGCAAGATGACTAGGTTTCATATATAAGGTTATGCCTCAAGCAAAGTTTGTATTTCACCATTGTGGAAATTTTTAAAGTTGTTTTATACGTTGGAAAATGAAAAGGTTTTCTCTGAATTGTGTGTAAATAGGAAACTGAAACAAAACATTTCAACCTCAAAGTTCCCATTTTGCCTCAAACACATTAATTAAATTTACTAGATTACTTCAGTTCTTTTTAAATATATATATATATATATATATATATATATATATATATATACTTTATTGATTTTTTACAGAGAGGAGAGAGAGGGACAGAGAGTTAGAAACATCCTGCACATCTCCTACAGGGGATGTACCCACAACCAAGGTAGATGCCCGTGACTGGAATCGAACCCAGGACCTTTCAGTACACAGGCAGACGCTCTATCCACTGAGCCAAGCCAGTTAGGGCTACTTCAGTTCTTTACTGTATTATTATTGTGATTTTTAAATAATTTTAAAGAACATATACAAATGAAGTTAGTAGCCAGTTCGCAATTTATGCAATTCAAATGTGCCTTTGAATGTTATTTCCAAGGTTAAGAGGAAATGTAACCTCACATAAAGTTATCATTCCAGCCAAATATCAATGCACTGACAAAAGGACTGTGAAAATTTCTGAGTTTGTATAATCTATTAAAAGCATGTTCTCATGGGAAGTGAAACACATCTCTGCAATATCAGCTTTTGGTAAAGTGCGTGAAAAGTTTACAGAAGCTGCGACGGGAAACCCACGTGAAAGAATTTCAATGTTAACTTGTTTGGAAACATGCCTTTTACGTTTTTCCTATTGTTTTTATTATAAAAACATGATAACAATGTTTGAAGTAAACTAAAGGAAAGTTTCTATCATCCTTTGGCCTAATATAAGAAAAATATACTTTCACACTTTTACATAAAATTTGAGTTTTGTACCTAAATATCCATGTTACTTAGTTGATTTATAATGACATTATCATTTGGTCTTATATATTTCCCTTAAAATCATATCAATATTTTATATTTCAAATTATTTTAATTTATAATCATGAGCTACATAACAACTCAGTAAATATGTGAATCTTATTCATATAGTCATTTTTCTAAAATGTGATTATTTTTAATTTTTCCCTTCTCCTTTAGAGGACAATATTTACTAATATAGAGAATGTAAATATTTTCATAATATCTATCTTCTTTTGAAATGTTATTTTAGGATAATTCATTGTATGTTAAAACTACCAGTTAGCAGAAAAACTATTTTAAATTTCTTGGTATCTACTGTCTAACTGCTCTTTATAAAATTCACACAAATTTACAAAGATTACAGACAAATATAAGTATGGCAGTATTAAATCCAAATTCACTATTCAGTAATAATATTTACTTTAGAATCATTTTGACTTTGAGAAGAGTTAATACCTCATGGTGGCTTTTTCTTATATTTTTTGTTATTAGTCTGTAAGAGATATTTGCATGTAACTATTTTTCTTCTTGGGTTTTGTGTATTCATATCAATTGTTTATATATCTTCAGGAGATCTTTATATAGATATGAATAAACTCTTTAATGCAATATATATTTTATGCAGGCTTCCTTCTAAGATTGTTCCCTATTCAGATTTGTCATCAAATGCTTAAGGTTAATTATATCCTTAAGATCTGGGGTAAATAATTACTTTGTAACTTTTATCATTAATAAAAACTTTGATTTTGCATTAAAAGTTAAAAAAATGTGTATAGAATGAAAATAACTAACATATTTGAGAAACCAATAGCTCTACACTTAAGAAATGTGTCCATAAAAGAGATTAAGGTAAGAAATGGAAACAACTATATTGTGCCTGGTACTACTGATGCTCATTCTTGGTAGTGAAGGGAAAATGGTATCTTTTTTAAAATATATAAAGTCTAGGATTCAATATTGGTTGTGCAATTTCTGAACTATGTGACTTTTGACAAAAATTTTAATATATTTTATTGCAGTTTCTCTATATATGTAAGATATGATTATAATTTAAATATTTATTATGAGGA